GGTAGAAGAAAACAAACAACCCAAGAAATCTTATTTTAATATGGAAAATATTATAATGTGTTAATATTTGTTATTGTCTTTCTCTACAATTCCTATTCCCAAAATAAATAAAGAAAATGATGATGCAAAAGAGAAGAATGGTGATTGAAGGAGTGACATCTTTCAGTGGGAGAGAAGGGTTGATGTCATGTGCACAGTAGAAAGAATGACAGAAACTAGGACCTTGAACAATTCATCCATCATCACTGAAAGGACTACTGAGAGTTATTGGCAGTGTTGTAGGAGTTCTGATTGAAGAGGTGGTAGGAGAAGGAAGACATTGTCATCTGCCTACTTATTGATTTCAAAATAAAAGGGAGAACACGTGAAAATTTAAAGAAATAGGGGAAGATGAAATGGTTATCTTCAACATTAGAAATTAGTGGGGTTGTCAGAGAAGGAGGAAGACCCATTTGGATTTCTGCAGTCAGAGAGTAAAAGTTTGTTAAGACAATTAAATGGGAAGCCATTAGACTGATGTAACTACAAACCAAAACCGAACTGAGAATTTGAAAGAAAATGTAAATTAAGTACTAGCTTGGTAGAGTAGTGGTACTGTACTGCTCAAGTGAAGCTGGGTCCACATGGAAAACAGTGCATTAGATTCCCTAGGTTAACTTGTAAAGGCCAGGCATGTGTGCCCATGATCCCGGCTGGCTGGGAAGGCTGGGAGTAGGATGGCTGCTTGAGACCTTATTGTGAGTGCTTGTTTATCCTTCTCTTTTTCAAGGAAAAAAAAAACAATATTAATATTTGATGATAAGTGGTTATTGCAGCTTTTTCATGTATTATAATTTCAGGTATTGTGGTTAGGTTAAAAAAATCCTCATATCTTAGAGATATATAGAAAGTATTCATTAATTCAGTGATATATTTATGTTTATTTCAAAGTAATACAAGGAAAGGGAAAAGTGGATGGGGATATAAATGAAACAAGATTGGCATGTGCTGGCAGTTATTGGAGCTGAATAATGGATGCATAGGGGCTCACCATACTATTCTAACCATTTGTATGTGTTTAAGATTTTTCCATAATGAGAGAGAAGGGAGCGATATAGACATAGAAATAGAGAATAAAGAAGTCAAAGCTACAAGTATAGGTAACAATTTAGTGAAATTTTGCTGTAAAAAGGAGAAGAATGGAGTAGTAGGTAGAAGAAAACAAACAACCCAAGAAATCTTATTTTAATATGGAAAATATTATAATGTGTTAATATTTGTTATTGTCTTTCTCTACAATTCCTATTCCCAAAATAAATAAAGAAAATGATGATGCAAAAGAGAAGAATGGTGATTGAAGGAGTGACATCTTTCAGTGGGAGAGAAGGGTTGATGTCATGTGCACAGTAGAAAGAATGACAGAAACTAGGACCTTGAACAATTCATCCATCATCACTGAAAGGACTACTGAGAGTTATTGGCAGTGTTGTAGGAGTTCTGATTGAAGAGGTGGTAGGAGAAGGAAGACATTGTCATCTGCCTACTTATTGATTTCAAAATAAAAGGGAGAACACGTGAAAATTTAAAGAAATAGGGGAAGATGAAATGGTTATCTTCAACATTAGAAATTAGTGGGGTTGTCAGAGAAGGAGGAAGACCCATTTGGATTTCTGCAGTCAGAGAGTAAAAGTTTGTTAAGACAATTAAATGGGAAGCCATTAGACTGATGTAACTACAAACCAAAACCGAACTGAGAATTTGAAAGAAAATGTAAATTAAGTACTAGCTTGGTAGAGTAGTGGTACTGTACTGCTCAAGTGAAGCTGGGTCCACATGGAAAACAGTGCATTAGATTCCCTAGGTTAACTTGTAAAGGCCAGGCATGTGTGCCCATGATCCCGGCTGGCTGGGAAGGCTGGGAGTAGGATGGCTGCTTGAGACCTTATTGTGAGTGCTTGTTTATCCTTCTCTTTTTCAAGGAAAAAAAAACAAAAACAAAAGCAAAAACCAAACAAACAAACAAAACAACAACTTAAAAAAGAAAGGAAGAAAATGAAGCTTATAAGCAACCAACACTTGCACTTGCACTTTCCACCAGGACAGTCCAGATAAGACGATTTTTCAGACTTTAATCAGTCAAGTAATTTCTTTCCTTAGCTTCCACAGTCTTCTAAAAATCTTTTCTTTGCCTCTTTAGAGAAGCCTTGAGCCACTTCTGACTTAAAGCTGCCTAATTTATAAATTATTGTTCAAATAAATGCTTCAGATTTTTAAAAGTGTCTTAGTTTATCCCATAGGTAGTGTAACCATCAACAAGTAATATAAATTGTTTCCCTTTGTTCTGAGAGCTGTTCTAGCAAAGTAATCAAACCCAAGGAAAGGAACCTTGATTTATAGCCAGTTGGTCAGAAATACAAGTCGTATCTAAGGCTTGTAGTTGGCATCTGAAGTGCAGGCATTGAGCCTTTAACCTGTGAAATCTGTCACTGCCTCCAGGTACAGAGTGTTAAATTGAATTGAAATATAAGACACCCAACTGAAGTCTACTAAAGAATTTAATGTGTGTGGAATGTCCTCCCTCCCCCACCAACTGGTGTCGGAAGTGTTGTGTTGAGTGTGCATGAAAATAAGAAAACACTTTTTCCTCCCCTTATCACTAATAGTGGACTCAACACCAAAATGGAAAGAAAAGGAAAAAAAAAAAATCAAGGAAGTGGAAGATAGAATAATAGAAATTACCTAATTTGAACAAGGGATTAAAAAAAAAAAAAACAGATGGGTGGGTAGGAGTGATAGGAAGAACAGAGCCTCAGAGACCTGTGGTGCTATTACAAAAAATCTAATATAGGAGTTGAAAAGTTACTCCTAGAAATAGTGACTGAAAACTCGAGATTTGGCCAGAGACACAAACTATAGAATTCAGTAACAAAACAATTATACAAGACCAAGTGAGGTTCTTTGTGTAAAAGCAAGGCTGGTTCATTATTTTAAAATCAATGTAATCTACCTTATTAAAGAAGAAAAAAAATCCCATCTTTATAGTAATTAATTCAGAAAAAATGTACCAAAATTCAACACCTCTTCTCAATAAAAGCTATCAAAAAAAAAAACAGGAATAGGGGAGAACTTCCTCAACTTGATAAAGAGCATCCACAAAAAGCCTACAGCTAATGTCATATCTAACCATGGAAGACTAAATACTTTCCCTCTAATATCAGGGAAAAGGCAAGGAAATCTGGTCTCATTCTTCTTATTTAACAGAGTGCTAGAAATTTTAGCCAGTGCAATAAGGCAAGAAAAGAAAATAAGAAGCATATAAATCTGAAAGGAAGAAATAAAACTGTCCTCATTTGCAGATGATGTGATTACACAGAAAATTCTAAGGAATCAACAACAACAAAAAAATAGAACCAAAAAGTAACTAATAAATTCCTGTCTTTGTTTAAGTGAATATGAGATGGGTTTCTATCACATGTAACTGATACATTTATTTATTCTAACATCCATGTTTATTAAAGGCTTAAAAGTTGCCAGCATCTGCTTCAGACAATAGTAACACATCAGCAGATAAAAAGTTTTTACTCTCAAGGGAAGTAGTAAGAGGTGTAAAAAGTTGAGGCCAGCAGATGACATAGTGGTTAGGTCACTGGACTCCCATGTAGTCGACTATAGTTCAAATCCCAGACATGGTGACTTAAAACTCACACCAGCCACGTGTGCATATGTGCCTAAAATCCCAAAAGAAGAAAGGATTGTGGTGTGACCATCACCCCTGGAGGGTGATTTCTTGCTTTCTGTATCTCTGCTTCTCCAGTGAGCACATGCACCCTATAGCCAAAAAAAAAAAAAAACTCTCTAAAAAAAGAGATGTAAAAAGTTAAAGCAGGTTAGAGAAAAAAAATATGGAGTGGTATTTCACAAAATTTAATAAGGGAAGATTTCTCCAGTCAGGATAGTGAATTGAAGGAACCCAAGGCTGGGACATATACAGTGTGTTTGGAAAAACACAAGGAGAGCCCATCTACGGTCTTGAGCATTGGTTGACACTGCTGCTTGACGAGCTGAGGCCACATAGAAAGCTCTGTTGATTCCTGGCCCACCCTAAAAGCCAGATGCAATGGCAAGTGCCTGTGGTCCCAGCTACATGAGAAGCTGAGGTAGGAGAATCTTGACATAGTGAAACTCTGTCGTAAATTTGTTTTTATAAAAAGGGGGGGGGGGGGGACTGGTAGAGGGTATAATGGTTATGTCGCTGGACTCCCATGTAGTCGACTGCAGTTCGAGTCTTGCACCTGGCGACTTAAAACTCAAACCAGGCACGTGTGTGTGCAGCCGAAGATCCTTAGAGGAGAAGGGAGGAGGAGGAATTGCTCAGTGACTGCCCTGGGGTAAGAGTTCTTGCTTTCTGTCTCTGTCTCTAAGGAGAGCATAAATGTCCTAAAGAAAAAGAAAGAGAGAGGGAGAGAGAGAAAGGAAAAGAAAAGAAGAAAGAAAAAGAAAACAAGGAAGCTGGTTGGCTGCAGCAAAGTGAGGGGCAGAGGAGGAGCAGAATGTAGGTCAGAAAGAACCCCATGCCAGATCATAGTTTCTCGTAGTGCATAAAAAGGACTTGGGATTTTACCTGGAGTGTGTGAGCTGACAAGTACTGAAAGATTCCAGCAGAGACGTGACCTGATAGTGTTTATATTTAGTCCCAACCAGTTTAACAAATAAACACAGCAACTGGGTCCCTGAGATCTACAACTCATACCTGCCCCTCAACTCCTTTCATTCCATTTCAAAACTCCTCTCTGCCTTTCTCTGTCTGTTTTTTCCTCCCGAGGAAGAATTTTCTCTGCCTTTTCACAGAACTAAGCCCTTCACAAACTTCTTGAACACTTTCCTTCCTGTGAATAAATTGCTTTCCCAGTGCTCTGAAAGCTTGCCATGTATGTAAATCATTGCCTGTAACACTGACCTCCAGGGGTTGTGTAAACTTTCTGTGTAAACTTAGCCCAGAGCTCTTGCTCCTCCCTCCAGAAGGTCTCGACAAATCAAGGAAAGGCACTCTAGGCAAGCGTTGCTCCAGATTGTCAGACAACTTCTTCCTCTTCTTTTGGCTGCTACCAAGACCAAAGCAGTTGAGCGAATTTCAGGTTCAGAGCTACTCTTCTAGGAATCAGGTAACATCATCTGTAACTTTAGTGAGTACTCCCTTTCCTCTCCTGTGTAGGATTTCCTTCACTGGAACGTGGTTTTTGTTTGTGTGTGTGTGTGTGTGTGTGTGTGTGTAGCAAAGATAACAAACAACTAAACAAAATGACAAATCAAAATTGTTCTCACTAAAGTCTTGGTCATCCAAGGTATTTCAGAATTTCTCAGTTGTTGTGTGATAGCATTTAGTGTGAGAAATGTGCACACACAAAAGGCTATAAGCATACCAGTTAAGCTTTTTTTTCATGTTAACCTTTTTGGTTCTATTTAATTTTTTTAAAACTGTGTGCATGTGTTTGACAGAATGTTTTAGAAAAGTATTTGAGCAGTGGGTGACTTTTCCACTGTGCTATTTATTTCACTTCCCACCCTGCTTAGTGGCAGATGGGACTCCACCTTCTGCATCATACAGAAAGTACACAAATTACCACTAGGAAACTTGGGAAACCATTCAGGTGCAAACCTTAGAAAATAACGTGACACTTTTCCCCTTGTGGTGTTAAGGTCAGCTTCAAAAGTTCTGGGCAAGAGAGTTTAACCTGGTCTTGTTGAGGCTGGGGTTGGGGGAGAGTGAACTTTACCCTATAAACTGGATTACTTAGGAGGAGGGGTGTTTATAAAGATGTGGGGAGGCTAAAGCCCCCTTACCCCTGCTGTTTACATGGATGTAGGACTTACATGGCAGATGGGACCTTAAATACTTTCAAAAGCCCATCTGACCAGCAGCAGTACTATTTTTCTTGGGAGAGTTTTTCTCAGCAGTTTCTGTGACTCATTATAAGTCTGGACCCACACTGGGTAAGTTATCTTGGCCCTTTCACTTATAATTTACAAACCTGCAAAATGAAAATGCTAAGATACCTGAAAAAGAAGCAATAGGACTTTGTTGGATAGAAGGTAGTCTTAAGGTTTTGATAAGTAGGTTGATATTTTCTTTTTGATAGAACAAAATAGGTTCCTTTTAAGCTCTAAGTAACTGGTCAGTTTTCTTTATGACGTATGTTTGAAAATTTTTTGAATGTCGTGGAGAGTTTTGTATAGGGATTAGGGGAGAAGTCATACTGAACTCTGATTCTACTCAGTATCAGCAAGCTGAGTACAGCATAATTATCCCCAATGACATTAATATTTGCATAACTGCTTAACATCTTCCTAATAGTCTAGAAGCTTCATGAGAGCGGGACCAGCTGTGTGTTGTTCATAGCCTTACTTTCAACATTTAGCATGGGTCTGGCATGTAGTAAGTATTCAACATCTGATCAATGAATCAACACATTGTCCAATTTGGGTATGTGTGTGCTCATACGTGTTTGTTGGTAAAAGGGAAAAATAACAAATGAATTTGAAGTGCTTGGTTCAGTGCAACCACTTGCCAAATCTCAGCAAAAATATTCCCCTCCTTGGTGAGACCTTATGAAAGAGCCTCCATTTTCTCCAATTACCTTCTTTGCTTTTTGGTGTTATGTTTATTTATTGCCTTGTTTACTATAAGTCTCTTTCTATGACAGCAGGAGGACCTGATCTCTTCCATTCACCCATTAAAAACTCTGTGTCTCAGGACCAGTGGTTGGCATAATGGCTCTGTCGCTGGACTCCCACGTAGTCGACTGCGGTTTGAGTCCCAGACCTGATGGTTTAAACTCATGCCAGGCATGTGTGTGTGCGTGCCCAACATCCTGAGAGGAGAATGGAAGAGAAGGGATTGTGGCATGGCCATCCCCCTTGCGGGGTGATTTCTTGCTTTCTGTCTCTCTGTCTCTCTTTGTCTTTCTGGTGAGCACACACGCCCTATTGCAAAAACCTCTCCAAAAAAAATTTTTAAAAAAAGCTCTGTGTCTGAAACAATTCAGGGTAGATATCCAATCAGTATTTGTTGAATGAATGAATCATGCTAACCTACTAAGAATAAAGAGCAAGGCCCCCAAGATATTTGTTCTAAGCAGTCCAAATTCTTGCCTTATTTTTTTCTTTTTTCTTTTTGTTTGTTTTGTTCTCTCTGTGTGTGTGTGTGTGTGTTTGTTTTTTTGTTTTGTTTTTTGGGGGGGTTTTTTGGGGTTTTTTTTTTTTTTTTTTTTAGGTTTTTGCCACAGGGTATGGCCAGAGAGAGACAGACAAAGGAAATAAAAGGGAAAGTGAGAAATCACCCCCTGGGGGTGGTGGTGGTGGTAATGACCACACTCAATCCCTTGCCCCTCCATTCTCTTCTCAGGATTTTGGTCAGGCACACACATGTGTCCAATGGGATTTTCAAGCTGCTGGGTCTGGGACTCAAACCACATTCTGCCTGCCATATGGGAGTCCACTGCCTTTACCACTACCCCACCTGCTGACCCCTGCTGCCTCTTATTTAATAGGATCAGAAGTTTTTTCTTATAGTTAGCCATTTAAAAATACTACTTGGGGACCAGTGGTTAGCGTGATGGCTATGTTGCTGGACTCCCACGTAGTCAACTGCGGTTCGAGTCCCAGACCCGGTGACTTAAACTCACGCCAGGCGCGTGTGCATGTGTGCCCAAGATCCCAAGAGGAGAATGGAGGAGAAGGGATTGCGGAGTGACCATCCCCTCTGGGGGGTGATTTCTTGCTTTCTGTCTCTCTGTCTCTCTCTGTCTGTCTGGTGAGCGCACGCGCCCTGTAGCAAAAACTTCTCCAAAAAACAAAAAACAAAAAAACAAAAAAAATTAAAAAATACTATTTGTTTTTACATCAAAATAATGAGGGAAAGAATTACAACTCAGAATCATCCACAGAAGATTAAGAAATCATAATGCCTCTGTTCACTGAAATGCCAATGCAAATGCAACTGTTAAAAAATAAAAACTTCAGGGGAACCAGCAGTTAGCGTAATGGCTATATGTCGCTGGACTCCCACATAGTCAACTGCGGTTCACGTCCCGGACCCGGTGGCTTAGAACTCACGCCGGGCGCGTGTGCGTGCACGCCCAAGATCCCGAGAGGAGAATGGAGGAGAAGGGATTGTGGCGTGACCATCCCCCCTGGGGGGTGATTTCTTGCTTTCTGTCTCTCTGTCTCTCTCTGTCTGTCTGGCGAGCGCACACGCCCTATAGCGAAAATCTCTCCAAAAACATTATTTAATTAAAAAAATAAAATAAAATAATAAAAACTTCAGTGTACAGATAATGGAAACAGCTCCAAAAATGTATTTCTACTGGGCATAACAGTATGTATTCTAGGCTATCTGATGTGTAAAAGTGGTGGAGAAATAAGAATGTATAGTCATATTTTCTTTTTTTTACTTTTTTTTTTTTGAGAGAGAGATTTTTGCTATAGGGCGTGTGCGCTCGCCAGACAGACAGAGAAAGACATAGAGACAGAAAGCGAGAAATCACCCCCCAGAGGGGATGGTCACGCCGCAATCCCTTCTCCTCCGTTCTCCTCTCGGGATCTTGGGCACGCACGCACACGCGCCCGGCGTGAGTTTTAAGCCACCGGGTCCGGGACGCAAACTGCGGTCGACTACATGGGAGTCCAGCGACATAGCCATTACGCTAACTGCTGGTTCCCTAGTCATATTTTC